TCGGTCGGGTCATCATATATTTTGAAAAATGGTCAACAGCTACTATTGCATAACGATACTTCTCTTTTGTAAACGGCAACGGTCCATAAAAGTCGAGCGTCAGTCTTTCGCGAGGGCGGGTGGATGTAAGGGCCGTCAGCTCCGTGCCAATGCTCTGTGTTGGTACATTGTATTGAAAACAGAGAGGGCAAGCCATGACCTGTTTCCACGTGTCCTGTTGTAACGTCTTCCATCGGAAGCGTTTGCGTAACGTCTCGTAAACTTTTTTCCACCCTGCATGACCTAATTCTAAATGATAAGAGTCAATGATGTGATCATGGTCAGCAGGGTCTGGCGTAACCCGAGCATCAATCTGATTGATCGCGACTCGGCTGAGTGCATCTGGTCCTTGAAGAGTTTTGCCAGGTCTGTAAAGGAGCTTGAAGTCAAAAGATGCGAGTTTACTTTGCAGCCGGATAAGTCTTTCTGTCGGTAAAACTCCCAACAAGGCCTTATGGTCAGTACTCACTGTAAATTTATGATACTCTAAATGATGTCGAAATTTTATAGTAACACTCCAAACGATTGCTAACAGTTCGCGTTCGGAATTCGTATACCTGGTCTCTGTATCCGTCAAGACTCGACTAGCGTACAAAATGATACAAGGTTGATCCTGTTCATCCCGTTGAACGAGTACCGCTCCAAGACACGTGGCTGACGCATCGCAGTGGACTTCGATAGGGAGCTGTGGATCAATGAGTTCCAATTTCGTTGCCTCAGCGAGTGTCTCCTTGATGAAATTGAAGGCTGCGTTGGCCGACTCATTCCCGCAGAGGCGTATTGCTGGCTTCTTTGGGATGATCAACCGGAGCGTGCGTTCCTGTTCTGCAAAGTTCATGGGGAGGTGTGCCCGTAAATAGGTCGCCATCCCCAAGAACCTCTGCATCTGCCTTGTTGTTTCTGGGCATGGATAGTTGCGCACCGCTGTCACGTTTTTCTCTGCCGGGCGAGTGCCCGTTTGGTCGATCTCATGCCCGAGGAACAGAATTTGCTTGGCCAGGAATTTGGACTTCGTGATATCGATTGCGGCGCCTGCTCGGCACAGGGTCTTAAGCACTGCACGCAGGTTGTTGCAGAGTGCCTCGAAAGATTCCCCGAACACTATGACGTCATCTGCATATGCTAAACACCTGATAAAAAGATGCTGACGCAAGATAGTATTAATTGCTCGTTGGAAAAGTGCCGGTCCGGTCTTCAGACCAAACGGCAGCACCTTGTATTGCATCTGCCCGCGAGGCGTGTGGAACGCGGTCTTGGGGCGATCTGCATGAGCCAGTGGCAGGTGATGAAATGCCGAATGTAAGTCCATGGTACAGAAGTACGCGTTATTGCGCCCGAGCGCGTCTAGCAACTCCTGGACAACCTGTGTCGGATAATTATTGGCAATGATTAATTTATTCAGCTCGCGATAGTCTTCAACAATTCGCCATCGCTTGTAGAGTGGATTGTCGGGTTTTGAGCCCGGTTTGGGGATCACAAAGGCTGGCGAATTGTATGGAGACGCGGCTGGTTGGAGAATCCCGTCGCGCAGGTACCGGTCGACAATTTGCGTGAAAGGTTCATTACGTTCCGCGGATTGCCGAAATGGGCGGACTGCAGGGGGCGCGGCTTCGCTGGTTGGAATGTGTAACACATGTTCAGTTAGCAACCCACGCTTCCCCGACCATTGAAAAACGAGAGCCGGAAATTCGCACAAAATGTCGCGCACCGTAGACCGTTTGTCCGGTGTTCCGTCAATAAAACAAATTCCCTGTCCGGTTACGAGGTCCGGTTTCCCTTGCGGCCGTATCATTGTTTGGAATCCCATGAAAACGCGTTCGCCATCAATGGTCACGGTGACCAGTAACAGCGACAGGAGCGTACGACCAAGAACAATGGGGGGCTCGAAAGGTTCGTTCAAAACCAGAAAAAAACCTGAATGATTCACGCCGCGATAGCGGAACGGAATGGTAACCGCTTGCGTGACGTTTGTTGAGGAAGAAGAAAGTACGGTAGTAACAGAAGTAGAAAAAGGTTGAGTGGGGAGTTTCAGCGTTTCGACCAACCTGGGGGAGATGCACGCATGGGAAGCTCCGGTGTCGACGAGAGCCCGGCACGAAGCGGATCCGATGGCGATGTCCAGGAGGATTGGG